AGTATACAGCGCCTACATCTGGGGACAGATTTTCAAAGGAGCTCATATCCCAGTATGCACCCCCAACATGCTAAGCTGTTTTGAAAATCTGGCCACTTATTTTGGTGCTTAGAGGGGAGCTGAGCTCTTTTGCAGACCTGGCCCCAGTTGTGTGCTGAGCTTTTCTCTCTCTATTGCCACTTTCTCATCTTTAAGCAGCCTTGCAAAGCACTAGCTGAAGAAGGTAGTTTGTGCCTGCAGGACCTGGTATGGATGGAGGGACTTTCCTTAGAGTAGTTCCTCAGAGTGGTGATGAATATCTGCTTTTGATCACCAGGTGTTCTCTTGACTGTGGAGCGAAGTCCTGCCACTCTCTTCTGTTTAATGAAATTATTGGGAGAAATTAAAAGATGATACAGGGAACACCATGACCAGTATGCAGATGTCTCTCAACTCCAAGTCTCCTTTTCTTCTGCCCCTTACACTGCTGTCAGCAGGTTTATTCAAAACCTAGAAGCAACTGAAAACTTGGGTGAAAGCCAGCTGGCTACAACTCAATCTGGTCAAGACTCTGGTGAACCTGGTCCCTGGAGGGTAGGGGGCCGTGCTTTCCAGAATCTGGCAAAATCTGTGACTTGCTCCATGAAATGAGGGTTTATGCCCAACTACCAATATAATCACATCCACAGACCTTCCTAGCTTTTCATCTGAATTGCTGCAGCAGGTCTGAGCACAGACAAATTGTAAAAGCAACACCCAAGCCGCACATCTGTGCTCCACTCGCCAGAGCAAGTGCCAATCAGACTGCTAGCTGAAACTCAGTATACACAACGCTCTAAATGGACTAGGCCCAAATTGATGAAACAGTTGTTACGCCTTTGGCCAGGTAACTGCAAAATGCTGCTTCACTATTTCTGACCTACTATAAAATATAAGCTTATTTAGAGTGCTGGAGCATGCTGTCCCAACGGTGAAGCTCACAGGATGTGCAGGCAAGGCATTATGGGTACTAGACCCTGGCCTGCCTCTGGAATATTTTTCCTTCATAAATATGGGACTTGTATCCTCTTTTGGGACTCCAGCTTCTAGAGACCTAGACAAATATTTGGGCAGGAATAATTCCTTCTAGTTGAGGGCAGCCAGCCAGTACATTACATCAGCCAATGCTGCACATAAAGTCTATCCCCCATTATCATAGCATCTAATTTTTGATTAGACCACACAATTACCTCACAATTTTGTATTTATCCCCATAACACCGCTGTGAGGTAGGGAAGTGCTATTGTCCCTATTTTTACAGCTGAAGGACCGGACGCACAGAGAGATTAAGAGCCTTGCTCAAGATCACACCTTAAGTCTGTGACAAAGAAGGGATTTGAACGTGGGTCTTCTAAGTCCCAGACTAGCACCCTAAACCTCTCTCGCTGTCTTCCCCCAACCCCCCTTCTCACACACACACACCCCTACCATCCTGTTCAATAAAGAACCAGAGAAGAGCAAAACAACAACAAAAAGGGTTCATTCTGACAGCCATTAAAAAAAAAAGTACACTAAATGCAAGTCTATGAAAATGCATCAACATATCCGTCATTTCTCCTGGCACTGCTGTGATTTCTAGTGTCATGTCCACGTTTTCTCCCAGTCCCCATGAGTGGATTCTACTTACGCACAGATGACCCCGACACCACCCTCACTGTTAATCATGTTATACTCAAACGCCTCTAGGAGACTAGTCCTGAAAAGCTGGGGTCTTTTGGCTTGTTGTGGAGGAAGGATTTCTCACCCACAGTCAGTATTTGCTTGCTAACAACGCCATTCTTGGAAGAACCTTGCACTGTCAGATGGAAACACTGCTGTGCTGTGTGTTCTTCTTTCCTTAACTGCCTTTTTAGCATTTTAAAAACACGATATACTCAGGAAAGCTTGTAAAACTCCCCATACATAAAGTTTATTCCTCTACAGGGTTAATTGCCGAATACCTCCTGGAACTATGGATAAGTAACTAATCTTCAATCCATCACCAGCAGCCACTGACACGTTTTTAAAAAGCTAATTATTACCTTTTCAACCAAAAGCAACACAGAATTTGATTTGGGGGAAGGCACTACAAAATACTGAAACTGTTTGGCAACCGTACCTGGTAAGCAGGTGGAAGAGCTGGAAGAGACTGGTACCTATTTCGTTCTGCTATATAAAGTCTCTGAAATCTTCATATACAAAAAATGTACTTCAAACAGACACTTTGAAAAATGGCTGAACAAGTCAAACAATATGGATTTGCTGGAAAAAAATTCCCCTTTGTTATATAGCACGGGTATTTGAGGGCAGGTGGTAAATATATATTTAAAATAATAAATGATAACGATCCTTTGCATTTACACAGTGCACTGCATCTTCAAAGAGCATAAGAAACATTAACTAATTAATTCTCAGACATAAGGATTATTATTTCCATGTTACAGAAGCACCTATATTAACCCTTAGAATGCTGGGCAGTCAAATCTGCTGCTGCTTTACAGGCTGGCTTATAAGGCTGCTGTAGTAGGAAGGATGTATATGGATGCTGGAAGGAGAGTCCAGCTCAGGATTCCAGTGAGAAGCCAGTCCTGGCTTACCTTGCTGGATATTTCCATCTTCCCTTCTTCTTCCTGCAAGTCTTGCCCCACCCTTCTCAGCTGTCGGGGAAGGTCAAGCTAGGAGTGGACAGAACAGACTGAAGCCTCAACTTCTGGGCATGAGGAATTCTTGCTAGGTACAGAGGCCAGGCAGCTGGGGAGGTAAGGCAGGTGTGGAACGTGAGGCTGACATCTCAGAGGGAAGGGGGTTCTTTCTAATGTTTTCCATGAGGGAAAGGGGGTAGCATGCTCAGACTTAGCTTTCAAATAATTTTTCCCAAGGCCACAGAGGGAGATACTGCAACAGTCATGAGCAGAACTCAGAAGAAGTTCCCGGCTCCTAAGCCTGTGCTCAGACCACTCTTCTCGCTCCAGCGGTAGTCCCAGAGCTGCAATGAGCTAGGACTGGTGAAAATCATCAGCAGGCCCGAGTCGGAGCATCGTCAGTGACCGCATTCCTGTGTGGGTTTATTTTTGGCTTGTGCAGCACATTTGCATTCTCAGCCTCAAGTGGCTACTGCAGAAGGGACAATATTTGTGGGAAAACATATTTTTGGTATTTTGCAAGGAGGCAGCCAAGTATGTGCAAAAAAAATACATTTTTACTGCAAAAATGAGCTCATCCCTACTGCCTTATGCAGGGGGCAGGAGGATGCATGGATAATTAACAGGAGTGATTGCTCATCTTGTGCTGCTGCACCTGCAAGTTTGGGGGCATGAAAATTAACAGTTCGGCGGTGCCGCTCTGATTACAAATGCGCGCGCGCACACACAGTTTGAGCCTGAGCACTGAGCCGCTTGTAAAGTCAGCGACCAGCATCGCCCTTGTGCTCGTGTAAGCCGTGGCTGATTTTACAAGGCAGGAAGCAACATGCACCTGTTTATCAGAGAGCAGGACCAAACTAAGTGCTTTAGTTTACAACGTACCTCCATTTTCAGCAGTGTGTGTTTACGTTCCTATTCATACTATCTGACATGGTGGGGTAGGGATCCAGGCATCAGGCTGCAACAACTAGAGGCAAATCCCAGCAGCCGGACTAATTCAAAATTACTGCCAAAGCTGCAGCCACAGCGGGTCTCTGGGACGTAGGAACCAATGATAACATAATGTTTACTGCTCAAGTGCTGCATTGTGTGGAGTATGACCTGCTTTCTGCTGGCTGTATGCTCTATGGGGACAATAATTTGTGGCCAGGGAGACATCTCCTTTGTCACGGCTCTGGCAGGAAAGGAATTGTGGGTTCTTTTCTGCTCCTCTTGTTTAGAAGCAAATCTCCCTTCGCTTTTTCCTACAGTTGTCTCCAGGAACGTGTACCAATTTTGGACAAAGTTCTTCTCTTCTCTTCAGCCCTCTGCAGGTCCCAGCTCCCATGCTTTCTCAAGGTGAAAGGTGTTTGGTGCAGGGAGGAACAAAGGAATTGCCACCATGAATCAGACCAATAGAACATCTAGTCCAGTACCCAGCTTCTGAGGGTGACTAGATGCTTCAGAGGAAGGTGCAAGAATTCTCAAAGTAGACATTTATGGAACATCTTGCAGATAGAGAAAATTTCATTCTAAGGATATCACTCAAGAACTGTTAGACAAAACACTCGTCAGGGATGATCTTAATGGATACTGCTTCAGCATGGGGGACACAGACTAGATGACCACTTGAGGTCCATTCCAACCCTACATTTCTATGCTGTACCTGTTGGTTTATCCCCTGAGATAAGGTTACACACTGAATCCTGAGCCTTGCACATGGGTTCCCATATATAAATGTCCCTTCCAGCAGAGTCATATGACTCAACCCTTCATCGGCAGATACACTAAATTCCATAGAGTTTACAGTCTCTTTTGGGGGAGACTTGAAAAACAAAGGGCCAGCCTGCTCTTTGTGGGCATTAAACAGTACATGACACTTCATGAGTGGAGGGATTTGATCCACTGCTTTTGCCCAAATATTTTACCATCGTTCACTCGTGTACAGTTTGCTGACCACTGCTGGCCACCCTCTATAGAACTTTAGTGATGCTCTATGTACATAGTTTGCAAAACACTGCAGGAGCCTTTTGTGTCCAATATGCTGTATAAGAGTGAAATATGGTTACGTATTTTACATGAACTTTCACAAAAAGTGACACTATATATTTGAGTTATTTCTGTAGATGCAATAATCCATACTGTGCAATATGGATTCAAGCACTATAAAAATCAGGAAAGTTCAAATGCTATGATGTACGTTCAATATGGACTTTAATTACATATAAAAAATTAAAAGAATGTTATGGTTGCAAAGTCAAGCTTTCAAAACTTCGGTAATGCCTGAATTAAGGTTGCCTGAGCAACTTTAATTTGGCCCACTTGTATGTATGCATAATGATACAGACTTTACTTACAATGATCTCATTTCTTCCCCCACAGGACCTCTGCTGGATAATGGATAATGCTTTGGGAATTAATGAGGGTTGTGTAGCAACTGAAGATGTTGTGTGTTGTCTGCAGGATCCCTGCCTCACTGACCTCCTTTGTCAAGCATTTTGCGATCCACTGATGAAATTCACTATATAAGAACCGGGGATTATTACTATCATTATTATTTGTTACGGAAGTTGGATGGTGTGTAATGAATCAATCAGGGAACATCCACCTAACATTCAGGCTAAGAGTGATCTGGAGGGTTCTAGATACAGACTGGGAACACCGTAAAGAGAGCTGGGAAATAGAGCAACAGGGTACAATAGGATTGTGTTGTAGCAGGATACAGATTAGGGAACTTTCTGAAACACGGTGTGATGATTTTGCTATCTTTTATACAAGTGTATATCTGGAGTAACTGTATTAATTTCAATGGAGTTACTCCAGATTTCCTTTGGTGCAAAAAATAGAATTTGCACTCCAATATGCAGTTCTTGGAACATTGCTCTGCTGTACGTTGATCAGCTTAGGCAATGTACGATACCAGAACTAAAGCCAGTATATATAATGGTGAAAGGACTGCAAGAGTTTCACCAGGAATTTTAGATCTAGTCAGAAATAGGTTATACTGATACAAAATTTATGCCTGTGGCATCCCTACATTCAGCAGTGCATAAGCAATACAGAGCTGGTTCATTCTAATGTCGCTGTCACGGCATTTTAAATGTTACAGAACAGGAGGTATTTGAATTAAGGAGGAGACAAGCTCTACGAAATTTTAATTCAACCCACAGATGTCTAGTAAATAAGCACTCAAACATCAGCAGCCTGGGAGACTGAAGAGATTCTAACAGTAACTTTGCCAACCATTTTGCCATCATTGGTAAATATTCTATCCCCAGAGTACACACCGAAAAGCTGTAAGGTTAAGCTGTTTAAACATAACTTGTATTATACAGCGATGTACTTGGGGAAACAGAACGCTGTGTGGTTGTTTCAGTTGATATTCTCCAAAGCTACTACAGATCATTTAAATTTACCAAACGTACAGTTCCTCGTTCTAGTAGTCGAACACAGAACAATCTACTTCTGAAAGGCAGACGAGTGATTCTTTGCTATCTATTTGGCCTTCTCTAGCTCCAGTTCATTGGGTTAAACCTTTAAGCCCCTTTTTACACCATCTGCACATAACCATGGAGAAAGGCGGGCACATGTGTAAGCACAGACAGAGAATTAGATACACAACAGATTTAAAATGGATACAGATCTGAGCACGCACGTACGCCTGACACACCCTACTTGTGCACACACGTGGGTGAAAAGTGGATTTCAAACTGTCCATTTGCAATTTCCAAAAGAAAAATTGTGGGGGTTGATTTCTTTCTGCCTGGTCAAATTTAGATAAAGGAAAGCACTGACTAAGTCATTTTGGAAATTGTGTTTGTGTATAAATTAAAGCAGAAAAGCCTCTATTCACTCAGTTTTGCCACTAAGCTGCCTGTAGCAGGGGTTGCATTAGATGAAGAAGGGACCACAGGCAGGATCAGCAGGCAATGCTCAATGAAGACAAATTATGAAAGTACACAGAAATATACTAGCTATTGCTTTCTGAACCACAGAGATTAATAGGATTTAGATCAATACAGACAGACCATTCTTGATTCTGGCAAAGGTTTTTAAGTAAAATTATCAAGCACAGCAGCAAGGATGTCCTTTTACAGCTACTTGTTGGAACTCTTAGGCGCTGGGTCCTGAGTGCTGCTCACTGTGGATGAATCTAAACACCCACACAGAGCCCCATGAAAGTAATTGGGAGTCCACCCACAAGAAAGAACTTGCAGAAATGGGGCTTTAGACCCCGATCCTGCAAACAGTTTTGCATGTGCCTAAAATTAGGCATATGAATCGTCCTAGGGAAGTCAATGGGCCTATTCACGTTAAGCATGTGCGTAAGTGTTTGGAGGAGCGCGGTAATGGAGATTTTATCTCCATACCGATGCCATTTAAGCCTTTTACTGGAGATGGGAAAATCATTCAAAGAGAACAAATTATTCAATGGATTTAGCCCTTTTTTCTGTTCATGAATTGCTTGTAAATATGTTGATTTCACTTATTTGATATTCTCTATAATTCAGTGGATATTTGGGGACACAAATTGCAGCCTGGATTGCTCACTAAAGGTGAAATTTGCTCCTTGCAAAGCGCCAGCACAAGACCTATGCACCATTCAAGTCACGTTTAAGCCCTACATTTAAAGTTTCACCCCAATTGCTCACTAAATTGAATCCTGCCAGTTCTAAATATTTGCAATTCGATGTCTGAGTTGTCGAACTGGCCACCGATGTCACCAGGTATTATTTCTGCTGGCTTACTGAATGATCCAGCAGCTCTAAATCACGATTGAGTCACAAGGCAAACTCTGTTTTGTGATTACATGAATTTCAGTTTGGGGATAAATTACTTGGGTAATTTACACCCATTTATAAATAGATCATAAAGTCTAAAGGACTGCCTTCCTCTGTAGCATAGGGCACGGGTCACTTGCTGGAGGATTCTCTGCTCATTGAAGTCTTTAAACCACAATTTGAGGACTTCAATAGCTCAGACGTAGGTGAGAGGTTTTTCGCAGGTGTGGGTGGGTGAGATTCTGTGGCCTGCGTTGTGCAGGAGGTCAGACTAGATGATCATAATGGTCCCTTCTGACCTTAATATCTATGAATCTATAATAAATCGTTAATTGTTTTAAAGTCCAACAGGTTTACGGGTCACTTATAACTCTAATATCTTCTTTTTTTTGCTTACAACACATACTACTCATGTCCGTAACATGCTTATAACATCTATTAACGCTTTATCAACCATTTGTAAATTGAACCTTAATATAAAGTGTGACTATTAGTTTTCTGTGAACTTTCATACAAACAAATCTGCACTGAAGTGAATATCCACGAAGAGTGAATAAAAGAGGAGAAAACATGGATAATATAGCAGGTCTAACATTTCTTTCCCTGCCTTCCTGCCTCTGAACAAGATTACATCATGATCCAGTTTTGCAAGACAGCAAAACTTGGCATTTTAACCTATTGTTACAATTTAGGTTAGGTAGGAAAATAATGATATTTCAGCTACGTTCAGAAAAAGGCGGGAAGGCTTGTGGGCAGATGTGTTGGCTCTTGCTCTAGGGGTAGCTTTAATCACTAGGGAGCATGGTCAGGCAACTAAGCTTGTTGATGTGTTATTGCCATATGAAACAAGGAGCTTTCATCATTCCTTTAAAGAGCTGCTTATGCTGGGGGTGGAGGGAGAGACAACTCCAGTAGCATTCTGTTTGTGAAAAAAAATACCTAGCTTACATGATCTCTATTGATCTCCCCTCGTTCTGCATCATTAAGGGCATTTGCATGAAAGCAAATCTTTTTTAGGAAGCTTGCTTGCGCCTGCTGCTTATTCCCCAATAGGGTTATCATTCTCATTTTCCCAGCAAACAAATGGCGGTGTCAAACAGAGGAGGAGGACTTCACGGGAGGGGAAGATCAGATGAAACCCATAAAATGTCCTCAATAAAAAACACCTCCCCCGAATAGTTGGTATGTAAGGAAAAGGCTGTTTAGTGGAATATTTTCCCGAGCGTTTCTTGGTAATGGTGCTCTCAAGGGAGGAAACTATTACTAGCCTGTGCATTTGCTTGGTATATAGCTGCAGATAAAAGATATATTTAAAGGGAAGATCAGAGGCCAAGAAAATTAACATCTCTCACCCTTGGCATAAGCAGTGGCCATAAAATGCAATACTTTTATGGTTTATTAGATGTAGGGGGTACAGAGTCACAATGGGAAGAAGTGTCAACCCACACATCATTTGCATTTTTATAACGCGTCAGATTCAGACATCCTTATTTAGTGAGTAGTACCTTATTCCAGGAGTAATTTCATTAACATCATGAGGCTTCTCACAGAGTAAGGTAGAGCTCAGTGTGAGTGAGGGTGTCAGACGCCAGTCCTCTATGAATACATCAAATGCAAAGCATCATTATTATGCTTAGTACCCATTATAGTGGTTTAAACTCGGCAATGTTACCCATGTTCATAAAGATATCCCTAGGATGCAACCTATATATCACAGCTAGCATCTTAAATTGATACTTATATGCATAAATGCCTATTTCACATTCCAAACTGCTATTTTGTTCACCCAAACATGGCATGAGATGTCCTGTTAAAGAAGCCAATGTTTAAACCATATTCCAAAACAACAGAGTTACAGAGAGAAACCACAGCAAGAGGAAATATTATAAGTGGCCCAGACAAGGAACAATGACGTTTTGGCAGGTATTTGAAATCAGATGATGAAGAGTTATCGAGAAGGAGAAACACAGGACAGCTGCTTCAGAAGATAGAAGCAGCAATGGAGAAAGGTCTTGCATTGACAGAGGAGAGACGGAGAATTCATATATTCAGATACACACATGCTCTTTTTTAATACTGTTGCTCACTGTCTGTAGAACAAATAAAGGTTATGTAAATAAGGAGTTTGCAATGAATCTGGAGTTCTACTAATTCAATTGATGATTATTGACTGATAAAAATCTAGCAAATTTACCCAAGTGTCAGATTTCTTTTGTCCGTTTATTACCTGGAGACCATGGCATTGAGAACAGAGGTCAAGCGGAAAATACCTTTGCCACGAACCACAACAACAGTTTTCAGCTCCCAAGAGTCTAGATGGAATTTAATTCAGACTCTCCAATTTAAACACACACCGGGGCAAAATCCTGGTCCTATTGAAGTCAATGGCAAAACTCAAACTGACTTCAATGGGGCCAGGATTTCCCACCTGATGATTTTTTATCATGTATATATATTTGTGTGAGAGAGAAACACACTACTGATTATACTGACATTTTAGGAACTGCCAACATTGTGTAGGGGCCGTGATACAGGATTAAATTTCAGTATCTACAATTAATGTTATATTCTGAAATGCAGACATTTTAATGAGGTAATACACTTGGGAAACACAATATGCATTTGTGTGGATAACCAATTAGAAAGAGCAGCAGCTACCCAGCCTCCTCTATACCTCAGGCGGCATACCCATTTGCACTCTTTAATAACGGAGTATGATATTGATTGTTTTTCTTTTGATCAAGACAATTAAACCAGCAGTACATATTTATCTAGTGCACTTCGTCTCCTCCCCAGTGGGAGAATATATTTTTTTTATTTTGATTTTAAACTACCTACTTAGCACTAGGGGGCTTCATACAAATGAAACAATCTTAAGTAGTAAAGTTAATACCATCATCCTTTTAGGATTCCCAGTGCTCTTGAGAATCCAACAATCCCACCAAGTCATCAAAATAATTATAATCCTGCATCAAACCTCCATATCCTGAGACGATTTAAACAACTCCCTTCCTGCAAAAAGGAGGGCTTTGCATCATGCCCGCAACATTAACCAGTCTGGGTTCTGATGGTCCAGCAAGGGGGTGGCTTCCAAAGCACAGACCCATGCTGCCCATCACTGGAGTAATGGAGCACCGCACATCAGTAATTAGCTTGATTCTTACAACACCGTTTCGAAGTATTATTCCCATTTCACAGATGGAAAACTGAGGCATGGGGTAGATTAAGTGGTTTGCCTAGTTCCCACAAAAAAGTCTATGGCAGAGCCAGAAACCTACATCTCCTTCCTTAGAAGTTTTTAAGGTCAGGCTTGACAAAGCCCTGGCTGGGATGATTTAATTGGGGATTGGTCCTGCTTTGAGCAGGGGGTTGGACTAGATGACCTCCTGAGGTCCCTTCCAACCCTGATATTCTATGATTCTATGATCTCCTCAGTCCAGTGTCATAATCACTAGGCCTTCCTTCCTTCCCGTCACTGAAAATTCTCTGCCAGCTGATCCCTTTAAAAGCAAGGGGTCATCAGCTTTTGAGCACCTCTAGTGATCTCAGTTGCAGAGGTACTGTACAAAGAGATACGTGTGTAATGAAATCCCAAACCATTGAGGTGTCTTAGATTACTGGGTCCAAGCTATTGTAGAATATAAAATATTATTCTAGGATACTATTAGCAAATTGCTGACTGAAGGAAAACAATGGTACGTATAGAGGGAGATGAGATACTTTAGGTAGAAGAGTGATAGATGAAAGTGATCTCGCTCTTCATAGAAATGGATACCTTTTGGTTCAGTTATTTGGGAATCCAGGCAGGAAGACTTGATATCAGAAAGATCAAAATATCTGTTTCAAATGTCCTGAATCAGTGGTATGAACTGAACTGGAAGGTCACTTTTCTCCAACAAAATAAACTTGGGGAGAGATGATGGGGAGAGAAAAGGGATCCGGGAGGTGGTGTAGAATCTCAAACTTTTTTTTTTTTTAAAACCATCTGAGGGGAATGGGGCAGAAATAATCACATCTCACAAAACATAATTACCTTCCTGGTGTTTAAGTAATACAAGTTTAATTTATATGACAGAATTTATAGCTACCAAAAAAAGTGATACGTGGGAAGCATTTTTTTTTTTTTTTTACACATTTCCTGATGGGGCTCATAAATGTCTGTCACGAGATTACTGATTTGGCTGTTTTCTTCAGGTAAGTCAGACTGAGGGAAAGGCCAATTTCCTAGCAAGATGAGGTCTAAATAGCATTGATGATGGAAGCAAGGGGACAATGTATTGGCCGTGTACAAAGGCAGAGCTGACACACAGGAAGCAGGAAGTGAGAGAGGAACTCATTTTGCATGACTGCAACCAAGGTTATTAGCTGCCCTAATACTGTAGGTGCAGTTTATTATGCAAAGTAAAGGGGAAAATGCAGACATTTCATAGAAGCCCTCCTCAAACCAAAGCTTTGGAGAGGACGTATTTAACTCAACAGAAGCAGTAGCATCTAAACGAAGCTTTTTTTTTTTTTTTAATAATTTAGGATTCCTCTGCACATTTCTCCCCTTAGGGTTCCAGCTACCCTAGCTCTTTCTGCAGCCCATCAGTGGGTCTGCAGACCCATTACTGCAGATCTATGATCCGTCTGGAACTCTGTTTACTATGTAGAAACATGTTGCCCTGCCCTTACATTTCCTGGCCAACCCTGGTTGCACTTTCAATAAAGCAAGGCACCCAGAATTATGTCGCGAATGGGGTGAACTGGTGTTTAGTGATTTCCAGGGAGCTATCTGTTTGTGCTATCAAACCACACCACAAAACCATGCACCTGGACTTTCACCAAAAAAAAAAAAAAAAAAATACAAACACTGCTTTGAAGCCTTCTGAGAAATCCTATGATTCTGAGATGTGCAGTGATGTTTGACTGGAGATTAATGCAAAGAATGTGCCTTGCCTTAGAAGACATACATGACACATGCAAGGGATGTTAAGCTACACTAACTATAATTGGTTGTTTTTCAAATGAGGCCTGAGCCTGGACCTCTGAATTGAAGTGGAATAGGATGAGGCCCAAAATCAGTTGGAGATGGTCATTTAACCTCATTCCTTGAGGGCTTAGAACTGACCCAGGATCTACCTCAGTTCAAGGAAAAGCCAGGTGAGGAGACAAACTGTCACTACTGTATCAGAAGCAATTGAATAATGGTTACTTCTATGCTAGAAGAGAATGAAAATATATTGGGATATGACCCTGAATGAAAGGGTGGGTGAAATGCCATCCCACGCAAGAGTATCTAGGGTAGGACACAGTGAAATATTTTGGATGAATAGTTTACTTGCCAAAAAATGCAGTTTCAGTCAACTCTAAGCTAGTCACAAATTTGCTGAACGGTTTTAGTAAAATCGGGGGATTAGATTCACGAAAGGGCCAGGAACAGGAGGGTTCTTTTATTGCTCCAGCCACCACTTCCTCCTCTGGCCATTTTGTGAATCTAACCCTTTAAAAATGCCAGAAAACAAAACATTTCAGTGGGAATAAAACACTGAGTTCAACCCAAAATGAACTTTTCTGATTAGCTGAAAATTTTGAAAAAGTTTGGATTTGATTCAGGGTTTTTTAATTTTTTATTTTTCAGAACTGCCAGTGAACTGAGAAATCAGTTATTCACCCAGCTCTAATCCAGTGACCTGTTCCATTATCAGTGGTCAAAGAGAGGTCTGGAGGGAGCTATTGTTATATTTTGATCTGTAAGAAAAGCCATACATAAAATAACCCTGAGCATCTTAGTGGCTCTTTCAGAGTGTTGCGTGTTTTTCTATTTTGGGCAAGACAATAACTGTGGAGTCAGTATCTATCACTCAAACCGTTCATGTGACAAACACGAAGCTATGCTCAAATATCTGGCATTTCCCCTCTCCTTTCCTCTCCAAGTCACCAGAACAGCTCAAGTCAGCTGGAACACTCTAGCAAACAGCTAAAGCAAAAGAGAAAGATGGTAAAAGTTGTGCCCTAATTTTAGGGAAGTTTTTAGCAGTGTGGATCTAGAATGTTCCTACTTCGCAAATTCTGAGCCTTATTTGAAACACAGGAACTGTAATTTGAAAATTAAAATATGAAAAGTAATATTTTCATTTTCTCTAGGCAAGTGTATGGTAGTCACCATTCAGGGTATGTCTACAGCATAATGAGGTACCTGCAGCTGGCATATGTCAGTTGACTTGGTACTCAGGCTGTGGGGCTATAAAATTGCAGTTTGGGCTCAGTCTGGAGCCTGGGCCCTGGGACCCCATGAGTGGGCGAGGATCCCAGAGCCCTGCTTCACCCTGAGCCCAAATGTCTACAGTGCAACTGTATACCCCACAGCCCAAGCTCTGTGAGCCCAAGTCAGCTGACACGGGGCTGAGGGTATTTCATTGCAGTGTAGACGAACCCAAAAATTCTACAGTTACATCTGTGGTCTCAATCCTGCAAAGAATTAAACATGTGCATAAGTCTTTGCAGGATCAAAGCCTTTGATATCTAAGTATGAGGTATTCAGAATATTAAATAAATCCAACGCTGGTAAAATGTTAGCGTTATTCACAGTAACCATTGTGTGTGTGCAAACAACACTATAAAGGAGATGAAATTTTAATTTCAGACACCAGGGTGGCCCCTTACCTCAGTACTAGAAGTGCCATGGGGTCCTTAATATACTTGCAAAGCAGTCAGGATGTCAGTTTTAAGGCCCTTATCCATGGAACTGAACACATTAAAAGCCTACATAGTTCACTGGTCTAACTGGGAAGACTGAGGGGGCTGAATCAACCCTATAGGAGTTGGGTCCAAAGAATAAGATGATTCAGGGAAGTTCAAACCAAACCCCACTTCTATCTAAATGGAACATTCTATCCCCATAAGGGCCATGTGTTTGCTTTAAAAGCATCATTATACAGCTACAACAATGCTCCCACAGGAGCACTGTATAAAGTAGAAACCCTGCTCACAGGACAATTTTCACTGAACTTACAGGATGCCTCATTCACAGCTAGTACTGCTCTGCTTCACAGTTTTAGAGCCCATTATCACTAGCTCAAGAAGGGTCATGTTTTAATCCCAGCAAAAGCAACCTCAGTGCAAGGTATGTGTGTACTGAACAGCAAGAACAATTCTGCCTCAGTACAGACTAATTAACTCAACGCAAGGCAATGGGTATCAGACAACGGCAA